AGCCAGTATACTGTAGGCGTGTCCGTCGAAACGACGGGTGAACACCTTAGCAAATTGCTGCGTTAAAATGCCTATATATACTACTGTGCACCGTCGGAATGACGGGTGAACACCCTAGCAAAGTGCTGCGTAAGTATTGCTTATATATACTAGCAGCCTAGATTTCGCACGCTATGTTCGTAGAAACAACGTGTGAGCGCCCTAGGGATGTGCTGCGGGTATTTGTACTATCAGCGTTGAATTTGTTCACCTACTGTATCCGTCGGAACGACGGGTACACACCCTAGTCTATATAATAAAAGAATAGTGTCTGTCCGTTTGATCCTTTTCCGGCATTCGGATTGGCTAAATTCTGTTTTTGTTTCAATTTTCGATTGGCTGATTTTGCATTTTGGCTCATTTTGCATTGACAGAGCTTGCATGTTTATATATATCATTACATGCATAACAGAGTGTCCATATGTCGTCCTTTTGTCGATAACATTAAACACGAAACGATGGCACACATAAATGTTCATATATTGCATAATAATTTATATACGAAACGATGGCACACATAAAGTCATATGCATCATTACATAGTGCTATAGCAAACATTGCTTTCAGAAGAGTAGATGTGACACATACTTTCGATTCGTTAGTCAAAACATGGGCTCCATGCTCATATAATACACAAAAAAGTGGCAAAAGCAAGCGTAGTTATCAGGTTAAAGTGGATGCAGTTACAATAAACGAGTCGGCTCAAATGTAATGCATCATACTTAATAATCAACCTAAGTCAACCGGATATTCTACAGTACGGAACGACGGGTTACATCCACCTTTCTACCCATCACTTTAGCTTAGTAAACCGAATATATAGAAGTAAAGAGATGGGTACGAAGATCAAAAGGCGACTTCGCTTACTGTGTCCGTTGCAACGACGGGTACACATGGACCTGCGAAACGACGAGTACACATTGACCTGCAAAACGACAGGTATACAATGACTGACGTGGACAGGTACACTCTGCCTTTTATACCCATTGACATCATAGTCACAATGACGTGACTCAACTAGATATTTCAAATTAAAGTAATGGTTCAATATACCGACCTTCATTAACGTTCATACTTATCAGCTTACGTAAAGCAACCTAAAAATTGAAGGAAAGTAATAAATTCAAATACTGTCAGCGTAGAATTTGTGCACCTATCCGTCGAAACGACGGGTGAATTCCATCACTTATTTGCATCAACGTAAGCACATTTCCATCATTGTTATATTAAGTAGGAATTTTTTATGTGGTCTAGCAATCTATTTCGTCGGACATCCATCTATAGAAATGATTAATATGACTAAAATTTGTATAGTAAAATCTATATAATAACTCCGTCCATCATGCTATATTACTAAATGGAAAATGCACGGAACGACGGGTACACATTAAATTTTAAACCCATCGCTATACCTTAGCCGACACGATATTTAAAGTAAATGATGCCTATCTATACTACTTCGCACCGTCGGAACGACGGGTAAATACCCTCGTCTATTTATATAATAAAAGAATACTGTCCGTCTGTCTGTCTGTCTGTCCGTTTGATCCTTTTCCGGCATTCGGATTGGCTACTTTTGTATTATTTGCTAATTTTGGATTGGCTGTATTGCATTTTTGGCTCATTTTGCATTGGCAGAGCTTACATTTTTGTATCGATAATTACATGTGCGATCTCCATAACAGAGTGTCCATATGTCGGCTTCTATCTATAACACTTATATACGAAACGATTGCACACATACGTGATCATATTTTATAGAAATACAGCTTATTTATAAATATAAGATAAGACACATGCTTCATAATCGTTTTAATTCATGGGCTCAGTGCTTGAATAATACACTAGAAAGTTGGCAAAAGCAAGCGTTTTCATCAGGTTGTATTAAATTGCTTACAATAAGTGATGTGACCCATATGTGTTGTATGTGCATTTGTATATATTGCTACGTGAGCAAATTTCCGTAATAGAATTTAGTTCATCCCCGGGTGTCCTTATGTCGTGCTTCTATCTATAAAATGTATATACGAAACGATGGCAAACATAAATGTTCATATGCATCATGACATACTGCAATATAAACACAGCTTTTTTAGAATATATTAGATGAGACATATGCTTTCGATTCGTTAGTCAAAACTTGGGCTCCATGCTCAACGACTACACTACAAAGTGGCAAAAGCAAGCGTAGTGATCAGGTTCAAGTGGATGCAGTTACAATAAAGCGAATCGACTTCAATGTCATGCATCATACTTATTCATTTACTCAACCAGACATTCTACAGTACGGAACGATGGGTTTACATTCACCTTCATACCCATCACTTTATCTATTAAACCGGATATATAGAAGTAAAATATGGGTACGAAGATCAAAAGAAACTTTGCTTACTGTGTCTGTCAAAACGACGGGAACACATTCATCTACGAAACGACAGGTATACATTGGCCGGCGTCGACGCGTACACATTGACATTTTTACACATTGACCATCAACTATATTAATTTACCGTAGTAAACTGGATGTATAATAAGGTAAAATGGTGGGCCAATATGCTATCAGCGTAAAATTTGCGCACCCATATGTCGGAACGACGAATGCACATTGAATCTCATACCCATTACTTTACCTTAACATCGTAAGGGAAAATGTTGGATTCGGAGGTCAAAAGGCAAACTTTAGTCACCATGTCCGTTTAAACGACGAGTACACGTTGACCTTTATATCATCATTTTAATGTAGTCAACCAAAATGTTAAAACGATGATGGAAAGGTCAGTATATTACCAGCGTCGACTTGCGCACTATATCCGTCGGAATGACGGGTATACACCCTAGCAAATCGCGGCGTTTAACATACCAATATATTTTACTTTGCACCGTCCGAACGACGGGTGAACACCATAAAAGAGATGGGTAGATGAAACATGTTGCAATCGTCTGTCGATTCATCAGGATTCAGGCATTATCTAAAAAAGAAATGACAGTATATCAAAGCGTTCCAGAAACTCGCTAATGTGTACCCGGTGGAACGACGGGTTTACATTGGCCTGCATACACATTGACTTTGATACCTATTAATTTACCTGATTTAGCAGAGTGATTGACCAGTATACATGTACTGTAGGGGTATCGTCGGAACGACGGGTAAATACCCTAGCAATTCGTTACGATATACATACTACTTTGCACCGTCGGTACAACGGATGAACACCCAAAATAATACAATATGCTATTAGCGTAGAGTTCGCTGTCGTTTCCGTCGAATCGACAGGCACACAATTTAGCAGCGTCGACTTCGCGCAGCGTTCCATCGAAACGACGTGATATAAACTCAATAGAGATATTATTTTTGTAGACTTCGCGTACTAATTTGCGGAAATGACGGGTAAACACCCTAGCCAATCGCTGCGTTAAAGATGCCTATATATGCAACTTCGTACCGTTGGAACGACGGGTGATGAAATGATAAATTGACGAAACGTCGAGTACACATTGATTTTCGTATCCATCTTTACCCTAAGTCAATCTAATAATCGAACGTAAATTAATGGGTTTACAGGTCAAAAGGTAGACCATGATCGTTGAAACGTTGGGTAAACACCCTAACCTTTGAAACGACAGGTATACATTGACCTTCATACACATTACCTTTTAGAACTAATCAATTATATAAGTCAATATACGACTAGCGTCAAATTTGTGCACCTATCGGTCGAAACGTCGGGAACACCCCTATATACGTATTATTAATAGCATAAAAACCATGTCCGTCGGAACGACGGGTAAATACCCTAGTTAGTTATAATACTATTTTATTGACACTTTATATAAGTGTCAATATTATGTAACGGGCTCACCCCGTTACAATTTTCTTATAGCTCATCCTTTGCAATCCTTTCTACTCTAGATGCATGGACCAAACGTATTCCCTGCTGTCACCAACTGCTCGCATGTCCACGTAGTCAACCTAAAATCTTTTTTTTGCTTTACTGTACCTACGTGTTCCCTGCTGTCACCCAAGGTGGCCATCAGCCTTTTAGCTTTGGTTTACCACGATGAAATTCATGTACTAAGTGGTTTGCATCTGCTTTCCAGCTGCACTTGCCCAGATTCATCACACCAGATTCTTAAAGCACTATGTCGGTGAGCACATGACAGGAGTGCTAACTGCCGTTCTTGTCATCAAGCAGTATATGCACAGCATCAACAAGGTCACCTCTGAAAGATTAGACAGTACAGGCTCGAGCTTTGTTAACTCGCGGTCATCACGTAACGCCCCTCGTGTCTTCTGCTAACAGTTGAATTCTGCGAACTGAACGGCCGGTCATCAGTTGTAGTGCTACTCCCTCTTGTCGACAGCATTGGTGTCGCCATCGCATGCAGCCCGGTTCATCCTTTGATCGTCTACGCTACTCTACACCCATTAGCTGAAACGTTCTTCCTATACTTGTTACAAATTGGCAACTAGAGCTGGTAGCGTGATATTGCGTTTTAGCTCGTAGCCACACGATCTCGATTGAAACAGTGCGAAGATAAGAGAAGCAAAGACTTTTTGAGAATCCACGGATGTATCAGATTAAGGCTTGGAAATGTTTGGGATACCTTGGTTTGGATAGGACCCGCTCTCGTGAGAGGATGGTAGAGCTCAAGGTTGATAGGTATTTAAGGCCTTCCTACACGCGTCTTGATCGTGGTGCATTACTGTTTCCAGTGCGTACAATGCAACTCGTTGATATTGTGGAGATTGTGATTGAATTTCCTGGTATCTGGGTCGGGCATTTGTCCAGCTGTCGGATACGGCACCACGCCTCTCAAGCACAGCACGGCTTAAGTTCACCAGGTCTTCTTCAGGGATCTCAATGCTCATCGGGCGGGTCGAATGTACTGGAGGCTTTCGTCCTTATTTCGTGGTGGCATGCTACAGGTGATTATCGTGCACAAAAGACACGGGTCCTCGTTCAGTGAGATTGCATCTCGCAAAGCTCACGACAGGTAGCAAGTAAGACGTTGCGAGTGAGCCATGGATGTTCGACAACGACGCGAGCGTTTCGCTGGTCTCGCTCCGGACAGGATGCGTCACAAACAACCGCCGTGGCGAGAAATGTGTCCCGACGCTTGTTGCATTGTCGCAAGCCAAAGTCCTTTTCGATAGCTCGGTATTCAGCATCATGTCCGCACGCTCGCAGTGTAGGCAGCATGTAGGCAAAGCAGCGCACAAGATCCTCAGGACCACGTTTCGCTTCCGACAGCGACGTGAACACTGCCAGCTCCTGTTTACTAGGGGCCTTTTCCCTCACTATCTCAAGCAAAGCATCTGCTCCACTATATTGGCGATTAACGAGACGGGGTACGAGATCCAGTCTTGATGCTGGCAATGTACATACTTTCCTCCAAGAAATCGAGCACCTTCGATGCGAGAACATGTAAAAATACCCATCATACATATCCGCATGGAGCACGAAATTGCTGTGACGTTTAGCAGATTCTTGGCCACGTAAAAATCTTCGTTCATCCAGCACAAGAGTCGGCCGAACAGCATTTCTGGAAAATTAGTAAGCAGTCGTTCCGCTTCACGTTCAAGACGTGGATATTGATGCTGGGTGGTAAAGCCCTGGTGGCCATCAATACCTCTACTGGTATATGTTGCCATTTTGATATAGATCACATCCATGCGCGTAGTCTCAATCGCCAATCAACAAGACATTGGAGCAGGTGCAGACCAATTTGACGCTCGATACGAAGATGCAGAAGACGCAGCTAACAGACTCTCAAAGTGCCGCGGTGATCAAGTCACAAAGAATTCTCGGGAAAGCAGATGGTGTCGGAAGCACAGACGGAACTACAAGAGGCAGTAGAGAATCCGTGCCATTAATGACAGACTCAATAACCACAAGGGAAGACGAAGGCATTTGCCACGAATCCGAGGGCTACAGCGGCTGCAATCAACGCTGTGATGGCTGAACAAGTCAAATGGGAGATACTTCAATCCAGTCGAGCAACAAAAGATGCAGCAGAAGAACAAATATTTCAGCACTCGATGGCGTCACCGCATCGCAGTTCATTACTCGACACCCCCTCTTGTCTCACTACTTGACGAAAAGACAAAGAGTCTCCAGCGACTCATTCTTCACGAAAAAGTCCCAAGAGAAACGACATTACAAGAAAAAGAAATAATACACGCACATAAATGACCAAACGCACCAGTCTCATGCCTTGATCTACCGTCTACAAGACTATGACACACCTCAAACTCTGTTCGTAACCATAGGCTTCAAGTTTGCCGGGAACGTTCGAGCCACTCGTAGTAGCGAAGTCTGCTACCTCTGTCAGAGGAGCTGGCACTTGCATTTGTGCTGGACTGAGCAACGTATCAAGCTTTTAATCTTCCACACGTCGCTTCTTTGGCGATCGTCACAGAAGCCGTCGCCCCACCTCCAGTCGTCTTTGACCTCGCTTCCTCTACTAAAATGTCCTTAAGCAGCTGAAATTTAACATGTTTCAGGTCCGTCAGCTCTTGCAGCTTAAGCTGCTCCAGTGTCTGTAACTGTTTCTTTGCTGCATCCACAGTATCTCTCTCTTCTTCCAAGTTGTTTGTCTGCTGTGCTTGTTTGGTCTCGTTTCTGCTCTCTTTAACATCTTTTTCCGCCGTGCCTTCACCTCGACGTCTGCAGTGTCGAATGCTGATCAGTTTACGCCAGTTTTTCTGTATGCAACGGCGACGAATTGACTCATTTAGTGTGCTCTCAATTGCTCCATATAATAAGTCCAGGAGATGGTCAGACGTGCTAAGAAGACTGTCACAGCGTAAGCTGGACATAGCAGAAACTGAATAACAAAGCAATTGCAGAGAAGCTTCCAGCATCTAGCCACCAACATCGTCAGACGACATTGCATTACTCGTCGTTGACGCCCACGCCTCTACTTTGCGTCTGATTTCATCTTGATATCGTACAAGTCTAACTTGCTTTACACGTTGCCATGAAACCAAATTATACTTGCCTCACGGACGTGAATGCGTATGCATGTTGTGGTGGTAAGACAGATCGTGGTATCTCGTTCAATAAAGTATCGTACTATCATTTGATCAGCTCCGTAATCTCGTTTCTATCCCTTTCAATCTATCATACCGCTTGCCTATCCAGCAGTGATTAACTGACTTGATATTCAACCCGACGACTGACGATTCAAGGGATCATATCTCCGACTTCATTTCGTATTTCTCCCTCATCAGTCAACGACTGGTTCGCAGTAAATTGCATTGTGTTAGTGTAACAATCCACCTTCGTTTCGGTATGATATGGGCTGCAGTTGCTACCATTCTCGTGGGTCTTGGTACAAGTGCCGAGCAATCCAGGTCAGCTCGTTTGCTCGGGTCTGAAGTCCCGGCCAAGAGAAAATTGAGGTCTGACAATCTCATTAACGATAACAAAGAAGAGAGGACGCCGGATTTTTTTGGATTTGAGGACTTTCTTCTCGATAAGTTTCCTGAAACAATAGACGACGTACTGTCGCCGGTCCTACATCAACACTCTGACCCCGCAGTGCCCGCGGTTGCTAAATTCCATCCACCTCCGCATCAACAATTTGATGGCGCAGTGTCCACATTCCCTCATCAACAATTCGACGCCGCAGTGTCCACGTTCCCGCATCAACAATTCGACGACGCAACGTTAAATTTTGATGATCATTTCTTTTCTTGGCTACAACAATTTGACGACGCAACGTCCACGGTCCCGCATCAACCATTTGCCGACACAGTGTCCACGATCCCGCATCAACCATTTGCCGACACAGTGTCCACGGTCCCACATCAACAATTTGACGACGCAACGTCCACGGTCTTGCATCAACCCTCTGACGCCGCAGTGTCCACGGTCTCACAACAACCAGTGTTAACTTTTGATGAGCCCTTCAAATATTCGCATAAACGCTCCGACGACGCAGTGTTCACCCTTGATGCGCTCTTCTTACCTCAGCAGCAAGGCTCTGACGCCGCAGTGGGAAAGTGGACACATCTACCAATGTTCACTTTCGATGAGCACTACTTATCTCCGCATCAACACTCTGACGCCGCAGTGCCCACGATCGATGAATTCCACGTACCTTACAATGACGTTAAAGGTCAGCTCGATATCGTGTATAAATACTTGGGTGCTACAGATGCAAGAGATCGACATGCACAATGGCTAGAGAAGAATATGCATCCCGCCGATGTTATGAGAAGGTTAAAATTTCTCGAGAAGAAAAACCAGCTTATTGTACAGATTCCAACGTTTAGATTGATCTATTACGTGGACCAGTACAGTAAAAAGCACCCCTCGCCCCCCATAAAACTGCTTGGTGTTCTGAAAGAAGAAGGATATGATGAAGAAGCTGTGATAAAGTCGGTGTGTTTACCGAATATGGACAAAGAGGTCATAGATCAAACAAGTGGGATGGTGAAGGTGCAGGACAGTGAAAGTGACAGTGCCAGTGCCAGCCAAAAAAACTTCGAAGCGGCGCTGATAAAAGTACAGCAATACGCCAAAACGCGACTAACACAGGAATTGATTCAATCGTGGCTCGGTGACAGGTTAAGTGTAGCTACTGTCATCGTCCGTCTCGGTCTATCACCGAAAGCCTTAGATACCGGTTACGATTTCTCTCGTTACAAAATATTGGTGATGTACGAAATAAATTGGAATCTTCAGCATAGACCGAAGACATTTACAAGTTTACAGGCTAATGCTTTGATGAAACTGTGGGGATATACATTGAAGGATTTCAAGATATTCTATAAGCAGAGTGACCAAGAGTCTGCCCTGTCCCTCGCTCTAGCGAAATGGATTCGGACGCAAGAAACTGGAAACGCAAACGTAAGTGGAAAAAAAGAAAGGAACGAGAATCTTAATTCTGAAGATGCACTTTGCCGGCGACACTTGATGTATATGCTATCGAGGCATTAATGGTTCGAGTACGAAAAAGCTTTGATGGACATGCTAGAAGCTCTGGGCAGGTGATGAAAAGTTTCGCAAATGGCTTTGATCATAACGGGAAGAAAGGAATAGATTGGGTACGTCCGAAATACAATGAATGCGGCTAATGCTGTGAAAAGATTTACTACTGTTCATATCAATGGCTTTATCGTTTGCTATTCATTTAGCGTACATTGTCATGAAGACATGTATCTGTCTGTACAACTTGTGGTACATTTTCTTATAGCTCGTCCTTTGCAATCCTTTCTACTCTAGATGCATGGACCAAACGTATTCCTTGCTGTCACCAACGTGTTCTCTGCTGTCACCAAGATGGCCATCAGCCTTTGAGCTTTAGTTTACCACGATGAAATTCATGTACTAAGTGGTTTGCATCTGCTTTCCAGCTGCACTTGCCCAGATTCATCACACTAGATTCTCAAAGCACTATGTCGGTGAGCACATCGATCACAATTGAAACAGTGCGAAGATAAGAGAAGCAAAGACTTTTTGAGGATCCACGGATGTATCAGATTAAGGCTTGGATATGTTTGGGATACCTTGGTTTGGATAGGACCCGCTCTCGTGAGAGGATGGTAGAGCTCATGGTTGATAGGTATTTAAGGCCTTCCTACACGCGTCTTGATCGTGATGCATTACTGTTTCCAGTGCGTACAATGCAACTCGTTGATATTGTGGAGATTGTGATTGAATTTCCTGGTATCTGGGTCGGGCATTTGTCCAGCTGTCGGATACGGCACCACGCCTCTCAAGCACAGCACGGCTTAAGTTCACCAGGTCTTCTTCAAGGATCTCAATGCTCATCGGGTGGGTCGAATGTACTGGAGGCTTTCGTCCTTATTTCGTGGTGGCATGCTACAGGTGATTATCGTGCACAAAAGACACGGGTCCTCGTTCAGTGAGATTGCATCTCGCAAAGCTCACGACAGGTAGCAAGTAAGACGTTGCGAGTGAGCCATGGATGTTCGACAACGACGCGAGCGTTTTCGCTGGTCTCGCTCCGGACAGGATGCGTCACAAAACAACCGCCGTGGGCTAGAAATGTGTCCCGACGCTTGTTGCATTGTCGCAAGCCAAAGTCCTTTTCGATAGCTCGGTATTCAGCATCATGTCCGCACGCTCGAAGTGTAGGCAGGATGTAGGCAAAGCAGCGCACAAGATCCTCAGGGTCACGTTTCGCTTCCGACAGCGACGTGAACACTGCCAGCTCCTGTTTACTAGGGGCCTTTTCCTTACTATCTCAAGCAAAGCATCTGCTCCACTATATTGGCGATTAACGAGACGGGGTACGAGATCCAGTCTTGATGCTGGCAATGTACATACTTTCCTCCAAGAAATCGAGCACCTTCGATGCGAGAACATATAAAAATATCCATCATACATATCCGCATGGAGCACGAAATTGCTGTGACGTTTAGCAGATTCTTGGCCACGTAAAAATCTTCGTTCATCCAGCACAAGAGTCGGCCGAACAGCATTTCTGGAAAATTAGTAAGCAGTCGTTCCGCTTCACGTTCAAGACGTGGATATTGATGCTGTGTGGTAAAGCCCTGGTGGCCATCAATACCTCTACTGGTATATGTTGCCATTTTGATATAGATCACATCCATGCGCGTAGTCTCAATCGCCGATCAACAAGACATTGGAGCAGGTGCAGTTATAATTGGTGGGATTGAGATCGAGCAATCCAACCAATTGTAAAGTTACACGAGCTGCGCGTTGACAGTATCTCTTCGCCTCATTGACTTGTTCAGCCATCACAGCGTTGATTGCAGCCGCTATAGCCCTCGGATTCGTGGCAAATGCCTTCGTCTTTCCTTGTGGTTATTGAGTCTGTCATTAATGGCACGGATTCTCTACTGCCTCTTGTAGTTCCGTCTGTGCTTCCGACACCGTCTGCTTTCCCCTGAATTCTTGTGACTTGATCACCGCGGCACTTTGAGAGTCTGTTAGCTGCATCTTCTGCATCTTCCTATCGAGCGTCAAATTGGAGATACTTCAATCCAGTCGAGCAACAAAAGATGCAGCAAAAGAACAAATATTTTAACACTCGATGGCGTCACCGCATCGCATTTCATCACTCGACACCGCCTCTTGTCTCACTACTTGACGAAAAGACAAAGAGTCTCCAGCGACTCATTCTTCACGAAAAAGTCCCAAGAGAAACGACATTACAAGAAAGAGAAATAATACACGCACATAAATGACCAAACGCACCAGTCTCATGCCTTGATCTACCGTCTACAAGACTCTGACACACCTCAAACTCTGTTAGTAGCCATAGGCTTCAAGCGACAGCCTTGACCTGGCTTCCTCTACTAAAATGTCCTTAAGCAGCTGAAATTTAACATGTTTCAGGTCCGTCAGCTCTTGCAGCTTAAGCTGCTCCAGTGTCTGTAACTGTTTCTTTGCTGCATCCACAGTATCTCTCTCTTCTTCCAAGTTGTTTGTCTGCTGTGCTTGTTTGGTCTCGTTTCTGCTCTCTTTAACATCTTTTTCCGCCGTGCCTTCACCTCGACGTCTGCAGTGTCGAATGCTGATCAGTTTACGCCAGTTTTTCTGTATGCAACGGCGACGAATTGACTCATTTAGTGTGCTCTCAATTGCTCCATATAATAAGTCCAGGAGATGGTCAGACGTGCTAAGAAGACTGTCACAGCGTAAGCTGGACATAGCAGAAACTGAATAACAAATCAATTGCAGAGAAGCTTCCAGCATCTAGCCACCAACATCGTCAGACGACATTGCATTACTCGTCGTTGACGCCCACGCCTCTACTTTGCGTCTGATTTCATCTTGATATCGTACAAGTCTAACTTACTTTACACGTTGCCATGAAACCAAATTATACTTGCCACACGGACGTGAATGCGTATGCATGTTGTGGTGGTAGGACAGATCGTGGTATCTCGTTCAATAAAGTATCGTACTATCATTTGATCAGCTCCGTAATCTCGTTTCTATCCCTTTCAATCTATCATACCGCTTGCCTATCCAGCAGTGATTAACTGACTTGAGATTCAACCCTACGACTGACAATTCAAGGGATCATATCTCGGACTTCATTTCGTATTTCTCCCTCATCAGTCAACGACTGGTTCGCAGTGAATTGCATTGTGTTAGTGTAACAATCCACCTTCGTTTCGGTATGATATGGGCTACTATTGCTACCATTCTCGTGGGTCTTGGTACAAGTGCCGAGCAATCCAGGTCAGCTCGTTTGCTCGGGTCTGAAGTCCCGGCCAAGAGAGAAATGAGGTCTGACAATCTCATTAACGATAACAATGAAGAAAGGACGCCGGATTTTTTTTCATTTGAGGACTTTTTTGCCGATAAGGTTCCTGAAACAATAGACGAGATACTGTCGTCGGTCCCGCATCAACACTTTGACCCCGCAGTGTCCACGGTTGCTACATTCCATCCACCTCCGCATCAACAATCTGATGCCGCAGCGTCCACGATCGATGGATCCCGCGTACCTCACGATGACGTTAAAGGTCAGCTCGATATCGTGTATGAATATGCGGGTGCTACAGATGCAAGAGTTCGACATGCACAATGGCTAGAGAAGAATATGCATCCCGCCGATGTTTTCAAAAGGTTAAAAATATCTCCTACAAAAAGGATGCTTCTTGTACAGATTCCAACGTTTAGATGGATCTATTACGTGGACCAGTACAGTAAAAAGAATCCCCCGCCCCTCATAAAACTGCTTGGTGTTCTGAAAAAAGAAGGATATGATGAAGAAGCTGTGATAAAGTCAGTGTGTTTACCGGATATGGACAAAGAGGTCATAGATCAAACAAATAAAATGGAGGCAGCACATCGGTGCAGCCGAGAAAACTTCGATAAGGCTCTGCGACGGTTACAGCAATACGCCAAAAGGCAAATAACAAATGAGTTGATTAACTTCTGGCTCGATAAAAAGTTTGGTGTAGAAGCTGTCATGGCCCGTCTCGGTCTATTGTCACAAACCTAAGAACCGGTTACGATTTCTCTCGTTACAAAATATTGGTGATGTACGTTGATGCTTACAATTTTCATTTTAAACCGAAGAAATTTACAATTTTACCGGTTCATACTTTGATGGAACAGTCGGGATATACATTGAAGGATTTCAAGATATTCTATAAGCAGAGTGACCAAGATTCTGCCTTGTCCCTCGCTCTAGCGAAATGGATTCGGACGCAAGAAACTGGAAACGCAAACGTAAGTGGAAAAAAAGAAAGGAACGAGAATCTTAATTCTGAAGATGCACTTTGCCGGCGACACTTGATGTATATGCTATCGAGGCATTAATGGTTCGAGTACGAAAAAGCTTTGATGGACATGCTAGAAGCTCTGGGCAGGTGATGAAAAGTTTCGCAAATGGCTTTGATCATAACGGGAAGAAAGGAATAGATTGGGTACGTCCGAAATACAAGGAATGCGGCTAATGCTGTAAAAAGATTTACTACTGTTCATATCAATGGCTTTATCGTTTGCTATTCATTTAGCGTACATTGTCATGAAGACATATATCTGTCTGTACAACTTGTGGTACATTTTCTTATAGCTCGTCCTTTGCAATCCTTTCTACTCTAGATGCATGGACCAAACGTGTTCCCTGCTGTCACCAAGATGGCCATCAACCTTTGAGTTTTAGTTTACCACGATGAAATTCATGTACTAAGTGGTTTGCATCTGCTTTCCAGCTGCACTTGCCCAGATTCATCACACCAGATTCTCAAAGCACTATGTCGGTGAGCACATCGATCACAATTGAAACAGTGCGAAGATAAGATAAGCAAAGACCTTTTGAGAATCCACGGATGTATTAGATTGAGGCTTGGATATGTTTGGGATACCTTGGTTTGGATAGGACCCGCTCTCGTGAAAGGATGGTAGAGCTCATGGTTGATAAGTATTTAAGGCCTTCCTACACGCGTCTTGATCGTGGTGCTACCACGCCTCTTTCGATAGCAAGCTCACCACGTCTTGTACTGGAGGCTTTCGTGGTGTTTATATCCTTGTTGTGTGGTGGCGCATGCTACAGATTATGTATTTGTGACGGCGTGGAGAGGTTTTGAATACGATAACGGCGCTACATTCGTTTTGTATCGGACGTCTTTGCCGTGAAATTTATGTCATCAACTTGGCGTACGGTATCATGAGTAGGAGGCGTCAAAAGGGATCACCTCGGCTACACTGGAGAAGATTTCTAACTTCAAAGAACGATCATCTTGCTTTACGCTGCGAGTGTAATGGGGCACATTCCGACTATACTGATTACAGTATAGTCTACTTTCACTGATGACAGTGAAAGCAGGTGCCTCAATTACCTCTCTTACACAAGAGGCAGAGGAAGCTTTACTTCTAAACAAACGCTTGGAAGTAGAGAAAAGAAGAACTGTATTAGATATAGTTAACTATTTTAATAAAACTATTCTGTTATAACCTATGTTAACTATATTAAACTACAACTATGTATGTTGACGACTTGCCCTCCACTCATTGCGCGCGTTGGTTAATATGATGGCCCATATCAACCAATTAGAGGGCACCTCTAACTTCAAGGAGATTTAGGGACAATATTATAAGAAAAGATAATATTGTCAAATATTATTAGTTATAATAATTTTTTATTGACACTTTATATAAGTGTCAATATTATGTAACGGGCTCGCCCCGTTACATCACCCCCCCCCAACCAACAGTCACATTAGTGACTGTTTCGTGACTATGGGGAAGGAGCACTTGTTGCGTTTTCTTTTATTCCAACTATTCTCACTCTATGATCAAGTCAATGCGCGTCGCTGCTAAAGCAGCCAAGAGCTCGGCTGCACATTTGTGTGCAGCCGCTACTGAGGCTTCACAGCCTCAGCCAGCAGACACTAACGTGTCTGCTGGAAGTCAACATCAGCCTGCAATGCATGTTGCAGGTTCACGTGGCGCTTCGCCACGTGAAGATATTGACCCAGAGTTAGTCGTTGACTACTCTGGTGAGTCGGATGACGCATCCGACTCAAAGTCACCTATTCCACTCCCGGGCTCTCCCCGGGGTGATACCTCGTCGTCTAATGTTACGAAGAGGGATCGTGGTACATTGAGTGAATCAATGTACCGTGAAATGTTCGGGTCGTCTGATGAACCAGACGACTCGCCAAACGAGTCGAAGGATAGTGACTCGGGTGGGGACCGTAGGGGTGATGTCAGTGCTTCTACTGACATCAATGCTCATAGTGTCGGTACTTCTGTTGACACTAATGCTCGTGGTGTCGGTACTTCTGTTGACACCACGCAGGAGGCTTTAGACCGCAACGTATTGCGTCTTGCTCCTGATCGCAAGCCATGGATGCTACCTAAGCATCTGCTTGATCGTTGGTCTGGAAAGACCAACGAACGGTTCCCCATACCGTTGTTTGATGCGTCAAAGCTTCACGGCCTTGACGCCAGTGCGAAGAACTTTTGCACTGAGAACGATTATTACATCGATGTGTTTCTTGAACATTGATGATATGGCTTACACAAGAAGCGTGAGGCTGACGCGTTTATCCAATCTTGGAACGCGCTTATCACCCAACGTTTTAAACGTTGGAAAGAGGCTTGG